CAGTACAGGAAGAGCCGCGTGGATAAAGAGGCGTGCCCCTAACTTTGAACTCACTGATGGGCAACTTTACAAGAAGACGTTCGGCGGACCCTACCTCAGGTGCCTCCCGCCGAGCCTGGCAGCAGCGGTAATCGAGGAAATACATGAAGGGATCTGCTCCAGCCACCAGGGCCCCCGAACCTTGGCCAGAAAAATCATCCTGCAGGGCTATTACTGGCCGACCATACAGCAAGATTGCTTCAACCACACGCGGAAGTGCGCAGTATGCCAGCAGTATGCACCTGTCCCTGGCCGCCCAGCGAGTTTCTACACCCCTATGACCATCGCGCTACCTTTTGCTAGGTGGGGCGTAGACCTGCTGGGTCCTCTGCCAACGGCTGCTGGTGGAAGGAAGTTCGTCATTGTGGCGGTTGATTATTTCACGAAGTGGGTCGAGGCCGAACCATTGGCCTCCATCACTGAATTCCAGTGCCAGAAGTTCGTCTGGCAGAACATCATTTGCCGCTTCGGGATCCCAGAGCAGATCATCACAGACAACGGTCGGCAGTTCGTCGGCAGAGGCTTTGAGGCATACTTGGCGAAGTGGGGCATCAGGCACTCTAAGGCCTCGGTGGCCTACCCGCAAGCCAACGGCCAAGTGGAGAACATGAACCGGACCATCATGGACGGGATCAAGAAGAAGTTGGAAGACTACACCTCCACCTGGCCGGAGCAGCTGAATTATGTCTTGTGGACGTACAGGACGACGCCAAGAACAGTGACTGGGGAAACCCCCTTTGCCTTGGCTTACGGATTCCAAGCTAAGGTACCGACGGAGGTACTGGTACCTACCCATCGCACCAAGCACTTCCAGCCGGAGGACAACGAGATCAACCTACGAGCAGAGCTCCACTTCATCGAGGAACGGAGGGACCTAGCGGCTCGTCGCATGGAAGAGTATCACAGGGCCACCCAGAGATACTTCAACAAGGCCGTGAAATTCCGCGAAATAGAGGCCGGGGACCTCGTACTCAGGAAAAGAGAGAAGAGCAAGCCGCTCGAAGGCGGCAAAATGGCGAAGAACTGGGAAGGACCTTACCGGGTCATCAGAAGATATAACCAGGGGACGTTCCTCCTCCACACCCTGGAGGGGAACCATGCCGGGATGTGGAACGTAGAACACTTGAAGAAGTTCTATCAATAGTTAGGGGCTGTTGTCCTTGTATTATTCCCACTACCTGTAAAATGACCGAGCGTCGTCAATAATAAGGCCCCTGTTTTTTCATCAAGTCTGTTCTTGCCAACGGCCGTTAAAGAAGGGAATCTCGATGTAGATAAACCTGTTCCTCCTTGCGATGTCGACGGACACCGAACATCTCCTCGAAGTAGGGACGCCGGTGGGACCAGGGACCAAGGACGAACGAAGCACCAGGGAATCTCGATGCAGATAAACCTGTTCCTCCTTGCGATGTCTGCGGATACCGAACGTCTCCTCGAAGTAGGGACGCCGGTGGGACCAGGGACCAAGGACGAACGAAGCACCAGGGAATCTCGATGCAGATAAACCTGTTCCTCCTTGTGATGTCTGCGGATACCGAACGTCTCCTCGAAGTAGGGACGCCGGTAGGACCAAGGACCAAGGACGAACGAAGCACCAGGGAATCTCGATGTAGATAAACCTGTTCCTCATTGAGATGTCGGCGGATACCGGACGTCTCCTCGAAGTAGGAACGCCGGTAGGACCAGGGACCAATGACGAACGAAGAGTATGGATTGCCTCCACCAAAAAAAAAAAAAAAAAAAAAGGAAAAATTGGGGAGAAGAGGAGAGGAGCTCCTATGTAGAAGGGAATCTTGCCCGGGTGTGCCAGATCTTCTCCAACCGCCGAAGACGAACGCCTCTCGGTGTAGAGGTTAGTAGAGACGCGGAGGGGGCTAGACGAACCAAGGGAGCCCGCCAAGATAAACCTGTTTATCCCACAAACGACCATGGATCGATAGACGTGGGGTAACAAAGTCGGGGACCCGTGAGGGTAGACCTGTTCGTCCCTGCGAGTCCTTGGGTACCGAACGTCCTCTTCGAAGCAAGAGACGTCGGTAAGGCTAAAAGGACCACGGACGAACGAAAAAAGGGGGGAATCTCGATGTACATAAACCTGTTCATCCTTGCGATGTCGGCGGACACCGAACGTCTCCTCGAAGTAGGGACGCCGGTGGGACCAGGGACCAAGGACGAACGAAGACTAAAAGACTCCAAAAAAAAAAAAAAAAAAATGCCAGAGGAGCAAGGAGCAAAGAATGATTTTTTATTCTTCGGCGCTATTGGCCGGAAAATTACAAGACAATGAAAATAATGGGAAAAATTGTACAAGTACAAGGTCATGAACAGAGAATCACTTTTGATCGACGTCCGGAGCTGGAACTTTGGAAAGAGCCTGCTTGCATTCTTCACTAGCTTTGGCTTCCGCCTGCTCCTTCAGCAGCTCGAGGGCCCCCGCATGAGCGTCCGCCATCAGAACATCAAAGCCAGCCGCCTCCGGATCGAAAGGAGCCCCGAAATGACGCTCGAACGTGGGGAGATTCTCCGCTACGAGCCCAACCATGCCCTTGCGATAAGTATCATCGGCAAGATCATCAAGGAAACGCCGTCCGGTGGGGGTGGCCTGGAGCAATTTGACCCCATCCAGATAGGCATCCGGACAGGTGGCTAGAAATTCTCCGACGAGCCTCGGGAGGAACTTCATGGCCATGGTGTGAATGGCACCAGTGTAAGCTTTGGATTTCTGGAAGGCAATGGAACCAGACTCCTTGATTTTGGCAACATCGGCCTCATAAATAGGGACATGGTTGTCCATGCCCGTCCGGCGAAGCTCCACCTTGGCCTGCTCTACGGCCCACATCCGGCTGCGGAGATCCACGAGCTCGGCCTCCTGCTTCTTGAGAAGCTCCTTCTGAGAGGCATTCTCCTGAACGAGCTTATCATAGGCCTCGGCTTTCTCTTGAAGGGTGCCGGCCCTGCCTTTTGCATTCCTCAGAAGGGCATCACATTCAGCCCGTACTCTAGCCATCTCCCTGCCCTGGCGCTCGAAGGCCATCCGAGCCCTATGGAAGTAGAGCCCGGCCTTATCCAGCGTGCTCTGGCCGCACTCCAAGAGATCTTCAGGGGCCTCCTGAGCAGCGAAATCCTGCGGAACCTTGAGATTCAGCCCACACCAGATGGAGGACGCTGTCTGGCCGAAGAGCATCATTGACTCTTTGCGGGGACCAACCCCGGAGAACTCAATCAATCCAAGTGAAGACCCACTGGCTTCGGGAGGCGAGCTTGGACGAGCGTCGTCAGAACCCTTGGCAGCTTGGGCATCATCGTCCCGGAGACGGCGGACGTCGGAATTCTGCGGGGGAGAAGCACGAAGATGGGGCCGGGAAGTGGGTTTCCGCTTGAGGAGACTTCCGGGCTCCCCATCGGAGTCATCGGCCACAATGATGGCCTTGGAGGAGGTGCCCCCAGCACGTGGCCTCTTGGAGGCGCCGGCCCCCGGAGCGTCATCAGCTCGTGCCCTGGTCACCCGAGGTTCGACCTTGGGGACGAGCGGCTTCCCAGGCTTGTCATGCCCCTTGTGCTCACGGCCGGCGGCAGTCGAAGCAGCGTGGACTCGGCTCATCGTAGACGTGGGGGGGGAAATTCCTGCACAAAGGGAACCAAGACGTTCAGAGCCATAACAGTGGAGAGAGGTTAAAACAATACAAGTACAAACGGACGCACCTAACCCAGCCCGAGCTTTAAAAGGCTCGGCCACCAGCAACCGGAGGTTCTGGATGCCAAGTCCGGCTATGCGCTTGGCATATCCGAGCTCCTCGTCCGTCATGGGCGGCGGGATCGTCTTCACCGGGTAAGCATTCCACCGGTCAGAGAATGGCATCGGTGAGCCTACTCCGGCCAGGAAGAAGCGCTCTTCCCAACCATCCGGATTCCCAGCATTGTTCGAGAATAGGACCATGGACGGACGGGCGATCAGGGTCAGATATCCCGTGCGTCCGAAGGGGGACAGCCGGAAGAAATGGTGCAGCAGGTCCACGGTGGGGGTCACACCGACGCTGTGGCATCTAATAATGAAGCCAGCGATTATCCGATAGGCGGCAGGGACGAACTGCGCAGGCACTATCTCAAGGGCCCTGAAGAGCTCTAAGTGGAAGCTATGCAAGGGAAAGTTCAGCCCGGCTATCACCGAATCCAAATGGACCACCACATAGCCGGGCAGATGGCGCATGGGGTTGCGCAAAGGCCGATCGTCGTAGGTCCTTGGAGGATAGAACCACTGGCTGATCAGACGTTTGTCAGCATTCGTCAGGCGTTGGACTTGACGCCGAACGTACGAAAAGCTGAGGCTATAACGGGGAGGCCAGGGCGGCATTCCCCGCTCATAATATTCCAAGTCTTCACCAGAAGAACAACCATCGTCGAGGCGATTTTCGGAGGACATGGCAACGAACGGTACCTTTTGCTTGGGCACTGGGGATAAATCCGGCTCGTAGAAGTTGCTAGAGAGAGAATATATTTCCGCAGCGTATGGGCTAAATGAATCGACGATGACTAATCTCGTGGTGTTTGGGCACTTATAAGCGAAATGCCGCAGATCGACACCAACCGCAGGCTGGCACGTGTCCAAATAACACCGGCATAGCAATAACTTTGGAAGGCACCTCGAGCCCCGCGCTTTTGGGGAAGCCAAGAGGCCGCTGACGGATCTTAGAATTCGGGTCTGACGACGGACGTCGACCATAGAACCCGGGATCCCCACAAGCTGGGAGGGCAACACCAGACGAACATCGTCGGACACAGTGCCCCGTCCTTCAAGGCAACTCGTACAAATAGCGGCGCCTTATTAGTCTTGCAAATCGGCTATCTAAGGTGGCAAGGGCAGGATTAGCTCGAAAGCATACGGCCGAAGGGCCCGGGTGCCCAAGGTGCGAGAGGCCTGGCTAGGCAACGGGCGTCTAAGCCAGGAGATGACGACGCCCGGCGGCAAAAAACTACGGGTACGCTACGCGTTATCTGGCTACGTACGGCGCGAGTACATTGAAAGAATAAGGTACAAACACGGCATAAAGACGAACTTTGGCAAAACATGGATTTTTATTCTTCAGCACTATCGGCTGGAAAGTACAAGTCTATATGTTACAGTCGGAAGGAAGGCTAGACTAAAATATAAATCAGCACATATGGGGGGATGATGGCCGGCTCCCGGCGTGAGTGTGCTCTTCCACCTGAGGCTCGGGCTCAGGGGTTGGGGGTTCCGGGATATCCCCCATGGCTATGGCCGCCGCTCGGCGCCTATCCCGCCTTATCTTCCCCAGGGCTTCGATCAGCAGGTCCTCTTCCGTATGATCGGCCGGGTTGACGTCAGGGCCCAGAAGCTTCTCAAAGATGGGGAGAAAGGCTTTGACCCCTTCGCTATAGCCACCGGCGAAGGCGCTATCAGCAGAATCATAAAGGAATTGGCGCGCTAAGGGGGAGCTTCCCATTAGCCGCACGCCGTATTTCAGACGATCCTTCGCCGGGACCTTCTCCAGGGCATGAGAGAACACGTCTCCAAAGGCCCCAGCGCAGAAATCCTTGGCCGAGTCCATGAACTCGCCAGTATTCCGGTAGCCGGAGGTATCCACGCACCATTCCGGGATAGCACACTTGGGGGCCGGAAGCACCGGCATAAGCTTGAAGCCGGCCTTCTCCAAGCAGGCCAGTTGGGCGCCAGTTTCAGCCTGAAGGGACCGAAGCTCCTCCCTAGCTGAGGCAGCCTCTTCTTCTGCCCGACGGGCGACCTCCCGAGCCTTCAATATGGCGGCATCAGCCTTGCTCCTCGCCTCCTGCAGGGCGGCCTCCCTGGCAGCCTCGGCTTGCAGCACCAACAGCCCTGACTGTAAGGAATGGAATGAACAGAAGTTAGATGACATAACGACGGGCATCAGAGAGACAAAATGAGTCGAATCGCGACAATACCTGGATGGCCGCTGCCAGAGCGGCGCTGGTCGCTTCAGAAGACGACCGGGGGGCCAGTTCGAGGCCGGCCTTGGCCCCAAGCTCCCTCCAAAGCTCCTCCGCCGGCCGGCTCAGGGAGAGACCGCTGGCATCTTCAACAACGGGGCCGGAGGAAGAACAGTCTCGCCCCCTCTTTGGCTTCTTCTCCGGGGCCCTCTCGACCCCCTTCTTGGGGACCACCTTCGTTGTGACGATCGGCGGGGGGAGAGCAGACTCAGCATGGTGGGGTATGGCCCCCTCATTCAGGAGGGTGGCAATCAGATGCTGCTCACCATCGGCAGTCCGACGGGCGGCCTCAGAGGCAGACGACCCGACACCAGGGGCGGCGGCCTCCCTGGCCGCTTTGGCCGCAGCCATCTTCGCCTTCCTGTTCCTCAGGCACTCGGCGTTGTCCATTTGGTCGGCGGTAAGAGGAAGACCTGCAAGAGAGAAATACAAGAATATGAAAAGACGAACAGAGATAGGGAGGAACACCCACCTCAGAGGACAGGACCGCCCGTGCCCCGAGACGAGCGTCCAAGGGGGGAAGGAATCCAGGAACACGGGCGGTACCTATGCCTGCTTCAGAGAGTGCCTCGGGGGTCAGGTATTCTCCTATGGGGCGAATGCCGCCTTCCAGGACTTTGTTAACTGCCGCCTCCAGCTCGTCCGTCAGCACCGGCGACTCGATCTTCGGGGGGTAACCATTCCAGCGGATTGGGAGGGGAGGACCATCATATCTAAGGAAGAAGAGCCTATTTTTCCAATCATGGATGGAGGAAGGATAGTGCTCGAACAGCTTCCTCTTCGGACGAGCGGCCACACTCAGATAACCGTCGGAATTCTGCGGGGTGACCCGGTAAAAATAGTGAAACAGATCCAGGGATACATCGGCTTCCGCGGACGAGCAGCGCACGAGGAATGCGGAGATAAACCTATAGGAGTTGGGCATGAACTGCGCCGGGACCGCCTGGTAGCAGTTGAAGAACTCCACGTAAAAAGGGTGGAGGGGAAACCGCAGACCGGCCTCTACGGAGTCCACATGCAGGATGATCATCCCCGGCCGTCGCCGCATGGCATGTTCAGCCCCGCTATGGCTAAAGACGAACGGATGGGGGAAGAAGGAAGCAATCTTGTTCATGGCGACGCTTGAGAGGGATTGCCTGTGCTCTAAGACACTCTTAATTTTGTAGATGTGCCTCTGCACGTCCATGGGGATACCTAAATCGTGCACCTCCAGATCAGAGCCAGATTGAGCCTCATCTGCGGAATCATACCCGGCCGCACGTTCATTCAGAGGCACTGCCTCAATGGCACCTTCGGGAATGTCGGCGCCTTGCTCACCATCGACATGGATGGTCCCTACGGTGGACGCCGAACCTGGGTTGCCGGAAACACTGGTTTTTCCGGAGGAACGGGAGCCAGAATTGGAGGAGGAATCAGAGCCGGAGCCCGAAGAACCAGAACTCGAACTTGAAGAGATCTCCATCGAAGTCATCACTAAAAGAAAGGGCAAGGATGAAGAGGGATAATTACCTTTAAAAAACTTGGAGATGGACCTGGGAAGCTGTGATGAAAAACCCGAAGAGCGGCAAGAGAACTCGAAAGCAAAAGCCAGAAATCGGAAACCCTAGACATCAGGGGATTTCTGGTATTTATAATGGAGGCACCCCCGGGGGGACGAATGAAGAAGCGACACGTGGCGAGGAGCGTATCCTGGCGGGAACCCAACCTGGGGAAGCGATACGCGTAATGATGACTTCCCATCGGGAATCGCAGCGTTTCGCCGCCAGCCGCCACCTCGATTCACCCGCGGTCGCCCAACTCGGAGTGCCCTTCGATCAGGTACGTCCAGTTCCCCGTAGGCAAGTACGGAAGACGGACATCCTCCAGGAGGCACAGCATACTTCCTTATGTCCCACGCACGCTTGGAACATCAGAAGTGGGGGACTTGTGTTGGGTAAATGGCCCCGAGCAGGGGTCCGGCCCAATTACCCCCAAACCGACGTACGTCGCCCAGCCCACGGATGGCCCTGGCCTGAAGGAATGAGGACGAATGTCTGTCTCCGGGATAACAGCATAAGGTCCCGGCCGAGGGTCGGTTAGCACATCCGTGACGAACGTCGTCAGCCGAGGCCCATCTCCGTAGAGGGCCCAGGCCCAAAAGATTGTTACGTTCTCAGGAAGGGCCACAGACGAACGGCCCCCGGGTCTACCAGACGATCGTGGTCATTAATTAGGCGGGGAACCCAGATTCTGGCGGGAAGCGCATTTAATGCCGGAGATTTGGTGGTTGGGCCACAACCACTAACAATCCTCCACATCATCAGGACTAACTGCCCATTGGCGGGTATAAATAGTAGCATTTATTTCATTGTAAAGGGTTGGCAACTTTCTATTCTTAGCATACTAGCTTCAGCATTCTTGCTTGCAGCATTTCTAAGTGCCTTGTAAGACGAACGGCCGACGTGCCTTTTTAGCAAGTAGATTGTATTTAGGGGAGTTGTTACGAAGTTAATAATACCTACTTACATTGCCTGCTATTTCTCTTGTTTCCTGATCCATCTGAAAGTTGTTGGGCTAGATATCCACACACTCACTCCACTCGAAATCTTTGGGCTTACGTGTTGGGTCCAAGGGTTGAAGGAATAAACCTCAACAGTAGTATTATTTACCTAAACTGATACAACATCTATTTACCGTGCATGAATTTCAACATGGCATTGGAAGGAGACATGCTGATATTTTCTTGATTATTTTACCTAAACTGAAAAACCATAGTCTATTCATCGTGACTTACACAATAACACATTTCAAGAACCATGAACGTGGGGAAGCAGATTTAGCAAGGCATTGCCAGACAATATCAATGTCTTTTGAGGCAAAGTTCACCGAAAATAAAAGATGCTACCAGGCAAGTGGGGATCATCATTTGGTCTGCAAGCTTATGGAGCAACGTGAATCAGCCAACCCTGTGGGTTACAAAGCCTGACACATCCTATATGGGCTATGATCCAGATCGCCCCATGTCTGGCATCTAAGTGATACAACTAGGCTCAGCCCTCAAACCAATTGATAATTATATACCATGAAAAATTTTGAGGTGGTAGAGATATCATCAATTACACTTAATATTCTTATTATATCAAGTAGCTTTAGATTCTTGTTTTAATTCAAGTGATTCAACATTTCTGAGACATGAGCTAGGTTGAGCTCAAAGTCTCAAACACAATTAAGGCGATAGTTAATTTACTTAAAAGATTGGACACTAAAAAACCAAAAAAGCAACACACCGCAATAATAGATGAAGAAGGGAAGTTCATTCTGGATGCAACCATTTCAACATTATATAGTTCTTTGCAATGGAACTTTAGAGCTTTGACAATATCTAACTTGTTATTAAAATGTCTTTTAAGCTAACAAAATTTTGGGACTAGAAAAAGTTAACACTTTCTATTTTTAGTTATACATCATGTATATTTGTAATTTCATCAAGGCTTGACAGGCAGATTGTGAGCTAGATCAGCACGGCTGTTAGAGGCAACATTATAGGCCTGGGATGTAGTTTATTACAAAAGCTCGATTCAGTCTGAAAAAAATTGTTTTGTACGGGTGCAGCCTGGTCCAGCCCAAACCCATAAAGTTTTTGACTGGTGCAGCCTGTTCAGCCCATAGATTTCAGAAGTTCTTTATGCAAAGAAAAAATGCAAAAACAAAAAAATGCCTGTAAGCAGTTCGCTCTATTAACATCACCCTAAAAAGTTCAGAGAAGCCACAATTCCCATTGATGTACTATTGCCTAATTGCCTCCAGCCTACATAATTCACTGTCCCAATTACTCCGTATTCAAATATGATGAATACAACTCAAACTTAATTAGTTTCATTTCAGACCTCAGGGCATTGTTTGCACAATACCACCTATAGACTTGTAAGTATGTTCAGAGAGCTCATCTTTTTAATGCCAACATTTTAGATCTATTATAAGCATTGTAGTGAAAATCCAGTAAAGCACCTATCAATCCTCAGTTTGGCGCTAGGAGCTTCTTGCCTCCTATTGCGCAACTAATTTATACCAATCTAGTTCTGATGAATCACCAATTATGAGCTAGTCATTAGGGCCCAGTAATGTCCAATGGCTGCCTAGCTACAATATTGATGATATGTATTCAGCTTGGCAAGTTCAATCCTATGGACTTATATAACTTTTCTTATTTTAAAAATGGTTCCACTGTAATTAGCAATTATGCTCTTTTCTCTTTAACTTGTGATAAACCCAAGAGTATTTTACACTTCGGGAAAGAGGGATATAAATTTGGAATCTTTCTTCCTACTATCAGCAAAAAAAATCCAACTTTTATGGCATGTGAAAACCACCGTGAATAACTAAATTCTTCTGAAAAAAGACCTATTTTCAAGTTCACCTAACAACTAACCACATAATTGATACTCCCGGAATGAAATTAAAAGGAAATGAAGACAAGTTAGGAAAATTAAATGGGTACCATAGATTGAAAGGGAATCTGTTTTGGTGAGCCTGGGAGGTTGCCTCTCCAACTCCAATTGCTCCAAAGAGCTAATCGATGGTCTTCTCACTCTTCCCAGCATATCTCTCTACCGCGGTATTGGAGGTCTGTAGCTTCCTACTTTACACAGTAGATGAGTGAAAGAACCTTTTGAACGATTTCATTTCGAGGTTTGGTTTTTGTTTAATTATTATGGCGCGGCAAAAACCAAAAAAACTTGAGACGAGCGGGAAACCAAACACTTCAGAACGACTGAGAGGCTGTTCTCCCCACCCCCACCGGATCTCAATGTTTCTAATCTGAATTTTCTAAGTTCTGATCTGGTCTGGTCTGAATTTTTCTGATCTGATCTGATCTGAATCTTTCTTATCTGGTCTGGTTTGATCTGAATCTTTCTGATCTGATCTGAATGTTCCTAATCTGATCTAAATGTTCCTGATCTGATCTGAATGTTCCTGATCTGATCTGAATCCTTCTGGTCTGGTCTGAATCCTTCTGATCTGATCTGATTTAAATATTTCTAAAATTATAATTGTAATTTTAATTTAAATTATTATAATTAGAAATTTAATTACACATATATAATTTATTAAACGGTCACTTAACATCAAAAAATGTTATTTGATCTGATCTGGTCTCATATTTTATGTCATTTAACGAATGTTATTACCGCCGTGAAAAAATGTCATTGTGACCACCAAAATTCCGGTGACTTTTTCCGGTGATCTTTGAAAAAGAAACAGACAAACGAAGAAAAAAACATCAAAAAAATCTGCCGATGATTTCCGATGACTTTTCCGTTAGTGGTTTCCAACGGCAGATCCGGACGTGACTGGGCGAGTGTGGGAGAGGGGGCTAGGGCAAAGGTTTGATATGAAATATAATGAAAAAGAAGATGAATTAATTAAACAAAAGGTTACTCATATTTTTGAAAAGAAACAAAAATAATCATTTTTATACTCCCTCCGTTCTTTAATATTAGGCCTCTTAAGCTTTGACACGGGTTTTAAGAGGAAAGTAATAGTGGTAGTGTAAAAGGTGTAATGAGTAGTGGGTAAATGAAAAAGTATGAAAGAGAAAGGGGTAATGGTTATAAAAGTGAGAGTATAAAGGTATATTGATAGTAAAAACTTTCCTTAAATGGAAAGGAAGACAAATAAAAACCAGCCCAAAATAGAATGGGGGACTAATAATAAAGAACGGAGGGAGTACTACGTATTTCACAAAATATATTATGGGTAATAATTAGAGGTTAGGGCATTTATAAGAGGAGAAAAAAGAGTTTTATAGCTAGTAAAACTCTCCTGGAAGCCTCAGCCCAATACCATTTGAAAACCTATTTTGAATTGGGCTAATCGGGCTATTTTAATGTTATTAACAAACATTAATGATCCATATCACTTAAGTGTGTGACCCTTATGTGTGACCCTATAGGTTTATATATCATTGACAGTGAGCTATAAAATTAATTTGAGCCTCACAAATCATAAGCGGTCTCTAGCAATGCATTATGAGTATCCAAGATATATAAATGTCAATTAAATCTGACATAACCTTTTAATGATTAATGTATGCTAATAATTCTCTTTTGTCAAACGATACTTTAATTGAGAATTGATACAAGGTTAGGTCGTGTCATCTTTGTTGTTCTCAATTAATATTTCTTGATTACCAGGTAAGATTAATCTTGAACAAATGACACTTCATTTGAGCATGGTCACGCTGATTAATCTTACTTGTCAAGGGGCCCAATAAATATCTTTCTCTCGCTATATGAGAGTGACAAAAACCATCTTGATAATTCACATACCACTACATGGTTCATAATAGGTACAATCACCACCTTTATAATTACTCATTTAAAGATAACATTTAATTGTGTTAATAAATATTAATTCTCATGCAAGTAACCATGATTATCTCAAGTATGAGAATAAAACACCTCATCATTATAGAGGACAACAATGATGACATATAACCTAGTAGTGTCCTCCAGTTGAGTCTGTCTAATAAGCTTGTTCACTAACAAGCATCTATGTTATTAATTTGTTATTTCTATACTCATGACTAGTGAAATATAGTCATCGGTTAATCCACATACTGGTCTATTAATTATTAATATCCCAAATTAATAATATTAAATCAGGAAGAATTAGAATATTATGCTTATTAGAAAGTGTAGCATTCCACAATGAGGTCACATACTTAATTAGCTACTAAACATAATATTCGGGGACTAAATATTAATAAAGAAAACTGACAATAATAATTAAACTAAAATGAGTTTGTGACTTTATTAATTAATGAGCATTAAATATTCATTGATAAATCATAAACTATTATTATCCTAAGGCATATTTCCAACAGTCTCCCACTTGCATTAGGACTAATCGTGAACAAAACGAACGCCTAATGCACTAGTATGACGTTCATGCTTTGCTTGGTGGGCGGATCAGTCACATTTGCATCTGTCGGTACTTTGCATATCTTGACGTCACCTCTGTTGACTATCTCTCGAATGAGATGATAGTGTCTTAGTGCATGCTTTGATTTCTGGTGTGATATAGGTTCCTTGGCTTGTGCAATGACTCAATTTTTATCACCATACAAGTCCATTGATCCAACAATACTAGGAATGACACCGATCTCAATGATGAATTTCCTTATCCATGCTGCGTCTGAAGCAGCAATGTACTCAGTTTCTGTTGTAGAATCAGCCATCATGTCTTGTTTAAAACTCTTTCAACTCACTGCTCTGCCATTGAGGCAACACACAAATCCTAACTTCAGTCTAAAACCATCCTTACTGGATTGGAACCTAACATCTGTGTAACCATTTACAATCAGTTGATCTTCACCGCCATAGACCAAGAATACGTCCTTAGTTCTTCTCTAGTACTTTGGAATATTCTTGACTATAATCCAGTGACTATCACCTGGATCTGACAGGTATCTACTAGTCATGCTTAGAGTGCAAGCTACATCAGGGCGGGTACATAACATAGCATACATGATAGAACCTATAGCAGAAGCACAAGGGACTCTATTCATTCGATATCGCTCATCTTGTGTTTGTGGACACCGAGACTTGCTGAGATGTGTGTCATGTGACATAGACAAGAATCCTCTATTGGAATCTTGCATATTGAACCTATGCGAGACCTTGTCAATGTAGTTATTTTGACTCAGTCCTATTAGTTTTCTAGATCTATCTCTATAGATCTTGATCCCTGACACATAGGATGCATGACCCAAGTCTTTCATTGAGAAACACTTTCCAAGTCAAGCCTTTACAAATGAAAGCATTGGAACATCGTTCCCAAAGAGAAGTATGTCTTCTACATGTAGGACTAGGAAAATGATTGCATTCCCACTCAATTTCTTTTAAACACAAGGTTCCTCTTCGTTTTGATTGAAACCAAACTCTTTGATTGCAGCATCAAAACGAAGATTCCAACTCCGAGATGTTTGCTTTAGACCATATGTTGATCTTTAAGCTAGCGTACCTTCCCAACATTGCTTGGATGTTCCAAACTCAGGTTGTATCATATACACGCCCTCATCTAGATTTCCATTCAGAAAAGCAGTTTTGACATCCATTTGCCAAATCTCATAATCAAAATGAGCGACAATTGTTAAGGAGAGAATCCAAATTGATTTAAGCATGGTACCTGTCGAGAATGTTTCATCATAGTCTATACCATGAATTTGTTTGTAACCTTTCACCACTAAACGTGCTTTATAAACATCTACATTGCCATCTTTATCTAGTTTCTTTTTGTAGATCCATTTGCACCCAATGGTTCTACAACCATCAGGTAGATCAACCAAGTCCCAGACTTGATTGTCGGTCATGGATCTCATTTCGTATTTTATGGCTTCTAGCCAACTATCGGAGTGAGGGCTCGATATTGCTTCTTGGTAGGTCAAAGGTTCATCTTTGTCTATTAATAATTCGTTGCGATGCTCAGTTAAGATAAACATGTATCTAACTGACTCGTTATGTACCCTAGATGACCTCCTTAAAAACGAGTGATACCTATGAAAGATGACCTCCTTAACTACATTGACAAGGTCTCGCATAAACTCGAGTTCATGGAGTGAAAATATGGGGTTGTCGAGACCTTGTGGTTGAGATTGTGGGACTGCTTGCGTAGTCTGACTATCTTGAACTTTTTGAATTTCTTCAAGCTCTATTTTACTCCCAGTGGTTCTTTCAAGAAGAAATTCTCTTTCTAAGAAGATACCATTACGAGCAACAAACACTTTGTTCTCTGATGGGTTGTAAAAGTAATATCCTTTTGTTTCCTCAGGATAACCCACAAATAAGCACTTTTTTGATTTGGTTCAAGCTTATTTGAACGTAAGCGTTTTACATAAACTCGACAACCCCATATTTTCACAAAGGTTAGACTATGAACTTTTTCTGTCCATATCTCATATGATGTCCTTTCTGTAGCTTTTGTTGGAGCCGTATTGAGTATGAATGCAGCGAGACTCATCATGGAACGAACCATGTCTAATAGGGTCCGATTTCTCCGTTCGGACACACCATTCAATTGTGGTGTACCTGGCGGAGTGAGTTGCAAAAAAATCCACAGTTTCTTATATGGTCGCTAAATTCTTGGCTCATATATTCACCACCTCGATCTGATTGAATGGATTTTATTGTTTTGCCAAGTTGATTCTGAACTTCATTCTGGAATTCTTTGAACTTTTCAAAAACTTCATGTTTATGCTTCACTGGTGTTGAGGTTTATTCCTTCAACCCTTGGACCCAACACGTAAGCCCAAAGATTTCGAGTGGAGTGTTTGGATATCTAGCCCAACAACTTTCAGATGGATCAGGAAACAAGAGAAATAGCAGGCAATGTAAATAGGTATTATTAACTTCGTAATAACTCCCCTAAGTACAATCTACTTGCTAAAAAGGCACGTCGGCCGTTCGTCTTACAAGGCACTTAGAAATGCTGCAAGTAAGAATGCTGAAGCTAGTATGCTAAGAATAGAAAGTTGCCAACCCCTTACAATGAAATAAATGCTACTATTTATACCCGCCAATGGGCAGTTAGTCTTGATGATGTGGAGGATTGTTAGTGGCTGTGGCCCAACCACCAAATCTCCAGCATTAAATGCGCTTCCCGCCAGAATCTGGGTTCCCCGCCTAATTCCTGACCACGATCGTCTGGTAGAAACGGGGGCCGTTCGTCTGCGGCCCTTCCTGAGAACGTAACAATCTTTTGGGCCCTGGGCCATCTACGGAGATGGGCCTCGTCTGACGACGTTCGTCACGGATGTGCTAACCGACCCTCGGCCGGGACCTTGTGCTGTTACCCCGGAGATAAACATTCGTCCCCATTCCTTCAGGCCAGGGCCATCCGCGGGCTGGGCGACGTACGTCGGTTCGGGGGTAAATGGGCCGGACTCCTGTTCGGGGCTATTTACCCAACACAAGTCCCCCACTTCTGATGTTCCAAGCGTGCGTGGGACATAAGGAAGTATGCTGTGCCTCCTGGAGGATGCCCGTCTTCCGTACTTGTCCACGGGGAACTGGACGTACCTGATCGAAGGGCACCCCGAGTTGGGCGACCGCGGGTGGATCGAGGTGGCGGCTGGCGGCGAGACGGTGCGACTCCCGATGGGAAGTCATCATTACGCGTATCGCTTCCCCAGGTTGGATTCCCGCTAGGGTACGCTCCTCGCCACGTGTCGCTTCTTCAATCGTCCCCCCGGGGGTGCCTCCACTATAAATACCAGAAATCCCCTGATGTCTAGGGTTTCCGATTTCTGGCTTTGCTTTCGAGTTCTCTTGCCGCTCTTCGAGTTTTTCATCGCAGCTTCCCGAGTCCATCTTCCAGTTTTTTAAAGGTAATTATTCCTCTTCATCCTTGCCCTTTCTTTTAGTGATGACTTCGATGGAGATCTCTTCAAGTTCGAGTTCTGGTTCTTCGGGCTCCGGCTCTGATTCCTCCTCCAATTCTGGCTCCCGTTCCTCCGGAAAAACCAGTGTTTCCGGCAACCCAGGTTCGGCGTCCACCGTAGGGACCATCCATGTCGATGGTGAGCAAGGCGCCGACATTCCCGAAGGTGCCATCGAGGCAGTGCCCCTGAATGAACGTGCGGCCGGGTATGATTCCGCAGATGAGGCCCAATCTGGCTCTGATCTGGAGGTGCACGATTTAGGTATCCCCATGGACGTGCAGAGGCACATCTGCAAGATTAAGAGTGTTTTAGAGCACCGACAGTCCCTCTCTAGCGTTGCCATGAACAAGATTGCTTCCTTCTTCCCCCATCCGTTCGTCTTTAGCCATAGCGGGGCTGAACATGCCATGCGGCGACGGGCGGGGATGATCATCCTGCATGTGGATTCCGTAGAGGCCGGTCTGCGGTTTCCCCTCCACCCCTTTTACGTGGAGTTCTTCAACTGCTACCAGGCGGTCCCGGCGCAGTTCATGCCCAACTCCTATAGGTTTATCTCCGCATTCCTCGTGCGCTGCTCGTCCGCGGAAGCCGATGTATCCCTGGATCTGTTTCACTACTTTTACCGGGTTACCCCGCAGAATTCCGACGGTTATCTGAGTGTGGCCGCTCGTCCGAAGAGGAAGCTGTTCGAGCACTATCCTTCCTCCATCCATGATTGGAAAAATAGGCTCTTCTTCCTCAGATATGATGGTCCTCCCCTCCCAATCCGCTGGAATGGTTACCCCCCGAAGATTGAGTCGCCGGTGCTGTCGGACGAGCTGGAGGCGGAAGTTAACAAAGTCCTGGAAGGCGGCATTCGCCCCATAGGAGAATACCTGACCCCCGAGGCACTCTCTGAAGCAGGCATAGGTACCCGCCCGTGCTCCTGGATTCCTTCCCCCCTTGGACGCTCGTCTCGGGGCACGGGCGGTCCTGTCCTCTGAGGTGGGTGTTCCTCCCTTATCTCTGTTCGTCTTTTCATATCCTTGTATTTCTCTCTTGCAGGTCTTCCTCTTACCGCCGACCGAATGGACAACGCCGAGTGCCTGAGGAACAGGAAGGCGAAGATGGCTGCGGCAAAAGCGGCCAGGGAGGCCGCCGCCCATGGCGCCGGATCATCGGCTTCTGACGCCGCCCGTCGGACTACAGATGGTGAGCAGCATCTGATTGCCACCCTTCTGAATGAGGGGGCCATACCCCATCATGCTGAATCTGCTCTCCCCCCGCCGGTCGTCACAACGAAGGTGGTTCCCAAGAAGGGGGGCGAGAGGGCCCCAGAGAAGAAGCCGAAGAGGGGGCGAGACTGTTCTTCCTCCGGCCCCGTTGTTGAAGATGCCAGCGGTCTCTCCCTGAGCCGGCCGGCGGAGGAGCTTTGGAGGGAGCTTGGGGCCAAGGCCGGCCTCGAACTGGCCCCCCGGTCGTCTTCTGAAGCGACCAGCGCCGCTCTGGCAGCGGCCATCCAGGTATTGTCACGATTCGGCTCATTTCGTCTCTCTGACGCCCGTCGTTATGTCATCTAACTTCTGTTCATTCCGTTCCTTTCAGTCAGGGCTGCTGGTGCTGCAAGCTGAGGCTGCCAGGGAGGCCGCCCTGCAGGAGGCGAGGAGCAAGGCCGATGCCGCCATTTTGAAGGCTCGGGAGGTCGCCCGTCGGGCAGAAGAAGAGGCTGCCTCAGCCAGGGAGGAGCTCCGGTCCCTTCAGGCCGAAACTGGCGCCCAACTGGCCTGCCTGGAGAAGGCCGGCTTCAAGCTTATGCCGGTGCTTCCGGCCCCCGAAGGTACTATCCGGGAATGGTGCGTCGACACCTCCGGCTACCGGAATACTGGCGAGTTCATGGACTCGGCCAAGGATTTTTGCGCTGGGGCCTTTGGAGATGTGTTCTCTCATGCCCTGGAGAAGGTCCCGGCGAAGGATCGTCTGAAATACGGCGTGCGGCTAATGGGAAGCTCCCCCTTAGCGCGCCAATTCCTTTATGATTCTGCCGACAGCGCCTTCGCCGGTGGCTACAACGAAGGGGTCAAGGCCTTTCTCCCCGTCTTTGAGAAGCTCCTGGGTCCTGACGTCAACCCGGCCGATCATACGGAGGAGGACCTGCTGATCGAAGCCCTGGGGAAAATAAGGCGGGATAGGCGCCGAGCGGCGGCCATAGCCATGGGGGATATCCCGGAACCCCCAACCCCTGAGCCCGAGCCTCAGGTGGAAGAGCACACTCATGCCGGGAGCCGACCATCGTCCCCCCGTATGTGCTGATTTATATTTTTAGTCTAGCCTTCCCTCCGACTAGCGCGTAGACTTGTACTTTCCAGCCGATAGTGCTGAAGAATAAAAATCCATGTTTTGCCAAAGCTCGTCCTTATGCTGTATTCGTACCTTATTCTTTCAATGTACTCCCGCCGTACGTAACCAGCTAACGCGTAGTGTATTCGTAGTTTTTTGCCGCCGGGCGTCGTCATCTCCTGGCTTAAACGCCCGTTGCCTAGTCAGGCCCCTCGCACCTTGGGTACCCGGCCCCTTCGGCCGTAGGCTCTTCGAGCTGATCCTGCCCACGCCACCTTAGATAGCCGATTCACAAGACTAACAAGGCGTCGCTATTGGTACGAGCTGCCTTGACGGACGGCGGCACGGTGCCCGGCGATGTTCGTCTGGCGTTGCCCTCCCAGTGTTATGGTCGACGTTCGTCGTCAGGCCCGAATTTTAAGATCCGTCGGCGGCCTCTTGGCTTCCCCAAAATCGCGGGGCTCGAGGTGCCTTCCAAGGTTATTGCTACGCCGGTGTTATTTGGACACGTGCCAGCCCGCGGTTGGTGTCCATCTGCGGCATCTCGCTTATAAGTGCCCAAATACCACGAGATCAGTCATCGTTGATTCATTTAGTCCATACGCTGCGGAAATATATTCTCTCTCTAGCAACTTCTACGAGCCGGATTTATCCCCAGTGCCCAAGCAAAAGGTACCGTTCGTTGCCATGTCCTCCGAAAATCGCCTCGACGATGGTTGTTCTTCTGGTGACGACTTGGAATATTATGAGCGGGGAATGCCGCCCTGGCCTCCCCGTTATAGCCTCAGCTTTTCGTACGTTCGGCGTCAAGTCCAACGCCTGACGAATGCTGACAAGCGTCTGATCAGCCAATGGTTCTATCCTCCAAGGACCTACGACGACCGGCGTCTGCGCAACCCCATGCGCCATCTGCCCGGCTATGTGGTGGTCCACTTGGATTCGGTGATAGCCGGGCTGAACTTTCCCTTACATAGCTTCCACTTGGAGCTCTTCAGGGCCCTTGAGATAGTGCCCGCGCAGTTCGTCCCTGCTGCCTATCGGATAATCGCTGGCTTCATTATTAGATGCCACAGCGTCGGTGTGACCCCCACCGTGGACCTGCTGCACCACTTCTTCCGGCTGTCCCCCTTCGGACGCACGGGGTATCTGACCTTGATCGCCCGTCCGTCCATGGTCCTATTCTCGAACAATGCTGGGAACCCGGATGGTTGGGAAGAGCGCTTCTTCCTGGCCGGAGTAGGCTCACCGATGCCATTCTCTGACCGGTGGAATGCCTACCCGGTGAAGACGATCCCGCCGCCCATGACGGACGAGGAGCTCGGATATGCCAAGCGCATAGCCGGACTTGGCATCCAGAACCTCCGGTTGCTGGTGGCCGAGCCTTTCAAGGCTCGGGCTGGGTTAGGTGCGTCCGTTTGTACTTGCATTGTTTTAACCTCTGTCCACTGTTATGGCTCTGAACGTCTTGGTTCCCTTTGTGCAGGAATTTTTCCCTCCACGTCTTCGATGAGCCGAGTCAACGCTGCTTCGACTGCCGCCGGCCGTGAGCACAAGGGGCATGACAAGCCTGGGAAGCCGCTCGTCCCCAAGGTCGAACCTCGGGTGACCAGGGCACGAGCTGATGACGCTCCGGGGGCCGGTGCCTCCAAGAGGCCACGTGCTGAGGGCACCTCCTCCAAGGCCATCATTGTGGCTGATGACTCCGATGGGGAGCCCGGAAGTCCCCTCAAGCGGAGAGCCACTTCCCGGCCCCATCTCCGTGCTTCTCCCCCGCAGAATTCCGACGTCCGCCGTCTCCGGGACGATGATGCCCAAGCTGTCAAGGGTTCTGACGACGCTCGTCCAAGCTCGCCTCCCGAAGCCAGTGGGTCTTCTCTTGGACTGATTGAGTTCTCCGGGGTTGGTCCCCGCAAAGAGTCAATGATGCTCTTCGGCCAGACAGCGTCTTCCATCTGGTGTGGGCTGAACCTCAAGGTCCCGCAGGACTTCGCTGCTCAGGAGGCCCCTGAAGATCTCTTGGAGTGCGGCCAGAGCACGCTGGATAAGGCCGGGCTCTACTTCCACAGGGCTCGGATGGCCTTCGAGCGCCAGGGTAGGGAGATGGCTAGAGTACGGGCTGAATGTGATGCCCTTCTGAGGAATGCAAAAGGCAGGGCTGGCACTCTTCAAGAGAAAGCCGAGGCCTATGATAAGCTCGTTCAGGAGAATGCCTCTCAGAAGGAGCTCCTCAAGAAGCAGGAGGCCGAGCTCGTGGATCTCCGCAGCCGGATGTGGGCCGTGGAGCAGGCCAAGGTGGAGCTTCGCCGGACGGGCATGGACAACCATGTCCCTATTTATGAGGCCGATGTTGCCAAAATCAAGGAGTCTGGTTCCATTGCATTCCAGAAATCCAAAGCTTACACTGGTGCCATTCACACCATGGCCATGAAGTTTCTCCCGAGGCTCGTCGGAGAATTTCTAGCCACCTGCCCGGATGCCTATCTGGATGGGGTCAAATTGCTCCAGGCCACCCCCACCGGACGGCGTTTCCTTGGTGATCTTGCCGATGATACTTATCGCAAGGGCATGGTTGGGCTCGTGGCGGAGAATCTCCCCACGTTCGAGCGTCATTTCGGAGCTCCCTTCGATCCGGAGGCGGCTGGCTTTGATGCTCTGATGGCGGACGCTCATGCGGGGGCCCTCGAGCTGCTGAAGGAGCAGGCGGAAGCCAGAGCTAGTGAAGAATGCAAGCAGGCTCTTTCCAAAGTTCCAGCTCCGGACGTCGATCGAAAGTGACTCTCTGTTCATGACCTTATAGTTGTACAATTTTTCCCACTATTTTCATTGTCTTGTAACTTTCCGGCCAATAGTGCCGAAGAATAAAAAAGAATCATTCTTTGCTCCTTGCTCTCCAGGCATTTTTTTTTTTTTTTTTTTTTTTTTGGAGTCTTTTATTCTTCGTTCGTCCTTGGTCCCTGGTCCCACCGGCGTCCCTACCTCGAGGAGACGTCCGGTGTCCGCCGACATCGCAAGGATGAACAGGTTTATCTACATCGAGATTCCCTGGTGCTTCGTTCGTCCGTGGTCCTTTTAGCCTTACCGACGTGTCTTGCTTCGAAGAGGACGTTCGGTACCCAAGGACTCGCAGGGACGAACAGGTCTACCCTCACGGGTCCCCGATTTTGTTACCCCACGTCCATCGATCCATGGTCGTTTGTGGGATAAACAGGTTTATCTTGGCAGGCTCCCTTGGTTCGTCTAGCCCCCTCCGCGTCTCTACTAACCTCTACGCCGAGAGGCGTTCGTCTTCGGCGGTTGGAGAAGATCTGGCACACCCGGGCAAGATTCCCTTCTACATAGGAGCTCCTCTCCTCTTCTCCCCGATTTTTTTTTTTTTTTTTTTTTTTTTTTTTTCGGTGGAGGCAATCCATACTCTTCGCTCGTCATTGGTCCCTGGTCCTACCGGCGTCCCTACCTCGAGGAGACGTCCGGTATCCGCCGACATCTCAATGAGGAACAGGTTTATCTGCATCGAGATTCCCTGGTGCTTCGTTCATCCTTGGTCCCTGGTCCCACCGGCGTCCCTACCTCGACGAGACGTCCGGTGTCCGCCGACATCGCAAGGATGAACAGGTTTATCTACATCGAGATTCCCTGGTGCTTCGTTCATCCTTGGTCCCTGGTCCCACCGGCGTCCCTACCTCGACGAGACGTCCGGTGTCCGCCGACATCGCAAGGATGAACAGGTTTATCTACATCGAGATTCCCTGGTGCTTCGTTCATCCTTGGTCCCTGGTCCCACCGGCGTCCCTACCTCGAGGAGACGCCCGGTGTCCGCCGACATCGCAAGGATGAACAGGTTTATCTACATCGAGATTCCCTTCTTTATCGGTCGTTGGTGAGAACAGAATTTCATAAAAAACAGGGGCCTTATTATTGACGACGTCCGGCCATTTTACATCCCGGTAGTGGGAATAATACAAGGACAACAGCCCCTAACTATTGATAGAACTTCCTCAAGTGCTCTACGTTCCACATCCCGGCATGGTTCCCCTCCATGGTGTGGAGGAGGAACGTCCCCTGGTTATATCTTCTGATGATCCGGTAGGGTCCTTCCCAGTTCTTCGCCATTTTGCCGCCTTCGAGCGGCTTGCTCTTCTCTCTTTTCCTGAGTACGAGGTCCCCGGCCTCTATTTCGCGGAATTTCA